CCGGGAAGAGCGCAATGATGGTGCCAACTTGGGCCAGTGAAGCAACGTCCTCCACAACTAGACTGAAGAACAAAATGACAGCAACTTGTCTGTTCCTCTTCCCCCAATTCCCCAGCACTGTTCCCAACCCTCCAATTCCCCAATAAAAATCTTTAAAAAAACCAACCCCATAAAAATTCAAGGTTTACTACATTGGTAAATGTTTAGCAGTCAAGTAGCCTGAAGTATCACAGTGTATCTCAAGCACAAGGCAAATGGCTGTACCTTGAACCACCTACCATTAAGAAAGAAGCACAGGCCCGGCTGGATGGCTCAGCAGGTGAGAGTGCATGCTCTTAACAACAAGGTTGCCAGTTCGACTCCCTCATGGGATGGCGGGCTGACCCATTCCCCCCCACAACTAGATTGAAAGTGGCGGCTGGAACTTGGAGCTGAGCTTGTGCCCTCCACAACTAAGATTGAAGGACAACAACTTGACTTGGAAGTGATGGGTCCTGGAAAAACACAATGTTCCCCTTCCCCAAATTCCCCAACACTGTTCCCTTCCCCAATAAAAACTTTAAAAGAAAGAAAGAAAGAAAAAGAGGCACAATGCTTATTGGATCTTTTTACATTTTAGAAACAACCTTTACTTGCATGTGCTGCTTTTATGCATTAATGGAGCCATCGGCAGCCAGAGCGGGTCCCAGAACAAGAACAGGCTTTGTAGACTTCGTAGGACGCAGTACAAAAACTCTTCTTTTCCTTGTGCCTTCTCACATAGAAGATCCTACAGTATTTGAAGTGTATGAGAGGAATTGGAATTCTATGGCAACAGTAGGATCACTGGGTAGATCCATCAAGTTTTGGAGCAAAATCATACCCCCTACTAAAATTAACCATTTTCCTTTGAGAAACAGGTCCTGAGTGTGTTTATACTATGGTAACTCATGAAACCACACCCTTATTATTTGTATGTTTTTCTGCACGTATATTGTATTTTTTTTTAAAGGGTTTAGCTTGGGCCGGCCGAGTGGCTCAGCTGGTTAAGCGCTCACTTGGGAGCACCAGCTCTGAGCAGCAGGGCTGCATTTTGGATCCCACATTGAGGGCCAGTGACGCTCACCCTCTACAGCTAAGATGATGAACAACAGTTCGACCTGGAGCTGGGCTGCTGTGAGTCGCTGGCGACAATGTAGGCTGCAGCAGGGCTGCAGTGGGCTGCAGTGGGCTGCCATGAGCTATGTGAGTGGCTGGCAGCCAGCCAGTGAGCAACTGGTAGCCAGTGTGAGCTACCAGGAGCCGCTGTGAACAGCCGGCCAATGACCGGTGACTGATTGCCTCCCCCGGGAAGAGCACAATGATCATACCAACATGGGCCAGTGAAGCAACGTCCTCCACAACTAGACTGAAGAACAAAACAGCAATTTGTCTACCTGTGTTTCCCTTCCCCGAATCCCCAATGCTGTTACCCTCCCCCCAATTCCCCAATAAAATCTTAAAAAAAAAAAGGGTGTAGCTTTTAAAAAATTATATGGAAAAATGAAGGTTCAAATATAGCAAAATCAGTAATGAAAAGAAGAACAAGTTGGGGAGAATTTCCCTGGCTTTTAAAAATAGACTTATACTAACAGACTATTGAACCTGGGTTCAGACCCGTGAGAATGTAGGAATTTAGTGTATGACATGGATAGCAATATAAATCAGTGGGAAGGACTAATGAATAAACGATATTGGGACAATTGGCTTTCCATATTAGGAAAAATATAAAATTAGAGTTCAGCCTCATTTATGAGGAAAAATAAGTCTCATATTATGGTCAGAGACCTAGATGCAGAAAACAAAATTTTAAAAGTTTTAGAAGCAAGCATAGAGCATACCTTTTGATAATATAGGTAATATTTCCTGAAAAATACTCCTAATAAGCACAAACCATAGAGGATGTGATTGACACATTTGACTACCTCAAAATAAAAAAATTGATATGGCTAAACTCACCAAAATTTAAATTAAAAATAAAAAATAAACTGGACACCTGAAACTAACAATAAAAAAATAAATAAATAAATAAAAGAAAGAAAGAAACAAAAAAAACCAAACAAACAAAAAAAGGAAATAAACTGGGAAAGGATATTTGTCATATAAATAACAGGATGATCATTATCAAAATTTACAAATTAATAAGAAATAGACAACTCTTCCCAACTGAAAAAAGGTAAAAGCCATTCATAGATGAGAGAACTCGAATACATAATTAACATAAAAATATATTTAATATCACTAATAATCAGGGAAATGCAAATTAAAATAATTAGATAACATGCTTTATTTATCAGATTGGAAAAAAACGATAAATTCTAACAATATCAAGTATTGGATGAATATGAAAAAAATGATATCCTCATTCAGTAATGGTAAGAATGTAAATTGGCATAGGTGTTTTGTGGAGCAATTTGGCAAGAAATACTAAAGTTGAAAAAGCACATAGTATACAATCCTTCTAGTTACTTATCCTAGGGAAATGTTTACACATGTACATAAGGATGTCCATTGTTTTACTATTTTGGTATCAATATATTGGAAATAATCTAAATGCCCACCAAAAGAGAGATTTTTTTTTAATTATGATGTTTTCATATTATAGAATACCCTACAGCAGTTAAATGGAGTCAAGTCTATTTCTTTACATACATGTATCAAATCTCAGTGTTGAGTAAATAAAAGCAATTTAAAGAAGGACACATGTACTATGGTATCAGCTACATATTTTTAAAGTACATACACAAAATGTTAACAATCATCATTTCTTGGTGTTGGGAACACAAGTGTTAGTTTTATCATTTTCTTATTTTTCTATAAGTAAAAATTTCCTCAAAATAAAAACAATGCAAAAAAAAAAAAAAAAGGAACAAGGAAGAAGCAGTGAATTGTTCCAAATGTCAGACTCAGGTCAGATTAGCTAAGAACTGAACTTTGTACATTGGATTTAGCAATTAAGTCAGTAACAACAAATATTTGTTAAGCATCTATTGAGTGCAAGGCATTTTTACATGTCACAGAATGGGGAAGTAGAGTATAAGCTTCAAGGCAAGATATAGATAGCTTTCCTGATTTTTGACTCTACAGCTTTTATTTATATGATGATGGTGGTGGTGGTGGTGGCGATAAATGCTTTAGTAAGCCATAGTTCGTCTACATAAAAATCTCAAATCTTCTGTAACAACTAATTGCAAACTTCCTGCTTAGGTAGGGTTTTTGGATCGGCAGAGGACATTGGCCTTGCTGGAAACGTTCTATGACCAAAGTTCAGAAATGCTGAGACGTTTACTCTGTAACCCAAGACAATGTAAGTGCCACTCAGAGGGAGTATGCTCAAGCTGGAATGGTGTAGTGCACTAATAGGATAATACAAGGTCATTTATCCCTGTGGAATTTTTTCACATACATCTTCCTTAGATCATGATAGCTATATCTAGTTGTTCATTCCCCACAAAATTCACTCTTTATTATAACGAGATGAATTTTTCACTACAGTGCAATACTAAAAGTTGTCAAATTGGAACTCAGCTAGAACTCAATTTTCAATTCATTCAAATGAAAAGGTATTTTAGTAGCAACCTGAATGTTTTAGAAATTAAGTTGGTGATGGTAATTACAGTTTTAATGTCCAACTTAGAATGCTAAGATTTCTGAGAAAAATGTTTCCTTCTCCCAAGCAATTTTATGTGTACATTTTTACTGTACTTATACAGTGGAATCTCTTTTTTATATTAGTATCGAAATACATAGAAATATGGGTTTTATTTTTATTTTTTAAAGAGACAGTCATTGAAACCATTTGGGTTTCCCAAAGAATGTCAGTATTTTATTTCTGTGTGAAAGTGTATTACTTGGATACTTAAAAATCTGTGAGTGATGTATGTAGAGAATTCCCCCCAAACTGTAGGAATTACAGTTTTATAGCTTAAACACTGTTTTAGCAGAGAGAGGAATAGTCTTATGGCATGATCCCACTCTCTGGAGCCCTGGACACCAGGATTGTTTTGTTGTTGTTGTTTAACAGTGGGATTCTGGGGCATGGTATCCAATCTTTCCCTGGAATTCTGAACCAGGTGTCCACATAAGTTGTGGAGGAAAAGAATTGAGGAATGAAGAAGAAAGGAAGGTAGGGAAGAAGGATGGGAGAGAAGATGAATATTGGGGGGAAAACAATATCCCAGTGAAAGATTATCATGGATTGACACTTGCTTTTATTTTGAAATTGTAGATATTGAAAAGGTATTTGAGGTGGAAGATGTGTGTCCCCCTCTTCATCCCTATGCTAGCCTTACTGTGGGAGGACCAAAAGTAGAAAATAAATGCTATTTGCCTTGGCAGTTTAAGCAACTCTCCAACTAGCAAAAGAAGAACCCTGTTCATTTTCAAAACCACACCTTTTAGGAAAGAGATGATTTCTAATTTACAGTAGTGAGCATCTTTCAGTTCCTTTGGATACTTTTTTGCTTTTTATTGTGCTGCAGGGAAAGGTTACTAATATTTATTTAAAGCAATAGGCCTATTTTATAATCACTGTGCTCAATGCTTGTTTTGCATTAACTTACTAGCTCTGCATTTTAGGATCCATTATTTAGGTAAATATTTTGTTTTCTGCACTAGGGCCATTCATTGAGTTTGAAGAGATAGACTTGCCTGAACTCTGGGGAGATATGGATGACCAGAAACACATTTATGAAGACTTTGACAAAGTGCTCTTAGAGATGAATACATTACTTCCTGAAAAACATGCTAACAAAACCCAAAGTCAATTGTTAGAAAATCCAGAAGATCCACATGAACATAGTAAACATAGAAAACCCACACCACCACTAAGCCCACCAGAACAGCAGAGAGAGATAACAGCAGGACAAGAACCAAACGAAATTTCAACCGAAGAACAAGAACAGGACACAGAGTCAGCCAGAGAACAGGAACAACACAGAGAATCAGTAACAGAGCAAGGCTCACCACCTAGAATGTCAACTTCAGAACAAGGAATCCACATAGAATCTACTGCAGAACAAGGACTTGACAGCGAATCAATAACAGCACAAGGACAACGCGAAGAGTCAACGATGGGACAAGAAACACACAGAGGGTCAACTGCAGAACAAGGATCAAGCAGGGAGTCCCTTATACAACAAGGACCACAAAGAGGGTCAGTTGTGGAAGGACTTCGCAGAGAGTCAGTACCACGAAAAGGATCACACAAAGGGTTAACTGCAGAGCAAGGATCCCGCAGAGAGTCAGTAACAGAACCACACAAAGGAACAACTGAAGAACAAGGACCACCCAGAGACAGAACTCCAGAAGAACAGGACATGGGCTCAGCTTCACAATCAATGGAAGGTAGTATCCTAAGAGAAAGTGAAAAATCGAGGGAGGCTACTCCCTTGGAGCACATTGAAATCCCCCCACAGGAAGAACAGACTCAGGAGCAAGCATATGAAGAGGCACTAGTCGTGACTTCTGAACTGCAAGGGGAAGATCCAGTCTCAAGGGGAAAAGACCACCTTTCAGGTAATAATGCAACAACATTAGCTCCCTGGTTTGTGGAGTGGTTTTTAAAGCCTTCAGAAAATACTCATTTCCATTAGGATCTTTTCCGGCACATCAGGTCATGCAAATGTCAGACATATTTTGCTACTCAGTATGAGTCTAGACCTTGAACTATCGATTAAATGCAAACCAGAAAGCCTCCACTGTCAATTTACCTAGAATTCCCTTTGCATGAGAAGCCCATGTGTGAGGAAGAAATCTGGTAACGTTACATATAGAAATTTACAATGGACCTCTGAAAAAGCAGTAGAAGCCCTTTTTTTTAAAAGATTTTATTGGAAAATCGGGGGAAAGGAACAGCATTGGGGAATCGGGGGAGGGGGAACAGACAAGTTGCTGTGCCCTTGCTCTTCAGTCTAGCCGTAGAGGATGCCGCTTCATTGGCCCACGTTGACACTATAATCTTTGGCCTTCCCGGCTGAGTTAATCGGTTGCCGGCCACTGGACAGTCACTCACGATGGCTCATGGCCGCCTGCCGCTCAAGCTGGCTGCTAGACATCCACTGCAGCACAGGACAGCCCACTGCAGTCCCACTGCAGCCGACGCCGTCGCCGGCCACCCACGGTAGCCCAGCTCCAGGCTGAGCTGTTTCTCACCATCCCAGGTGCAGAGGGCCCAGCGCCACTGGCCCATGTGGAAACCAAACCAGTGGCTCTGCTGCTCAGAGCCCACGCTCCCAAGCCAACTCTCAACCAACTGCGCCACTTGGCCGGCCAGAAGCCCTTTTTGTTTTAAATGTGGTGTCTGATATTAGAAACCACTTTTGAAAATTACTTTTATTTCAACTATAAAATGGAACTTGCTTTTTTCAGTTACATGTAAGATATATGTTCTAGAAGAGTTTCTGAAAGTCATATGTGAAAGAACACTCTGCATTTCAAATATTTATTCTACAGAAAACTTTCCTTCTGAATTGCTTATGCCAATTGATGACCTTTTTTGAAAAATTCTAACCTTTTAAAGAGCCCATTTCAATATCACTTAAGACCTCAGTTAAGCATAACTTTTTTTCTTAAAGTTCTGGTCTTTAATTCTAAAGTCTACAGTCCCAAAGAAAATTCTTATTTAAACCTCCTAAGAGATGGGTAACCTGTGTTCTAGATTCTACACTATCACCAATTAATTTGATTTCTTTCAGTTTTTTCATCATTATGTTTATTTCTCCACAAAATAACTACTAATGTCTGGCTCTCCTTACATAGTAAGAATGCAGTTTAATAAAAAATGAGTGAAGTTACTACTCAATCATATGTTATATCAGTGAGGACTTCATTTTGACTATGTGTAACAGTGATCCAAAATGTCAGGGTCTAAAAACATCCCATGAAAACAAAACAAAATAAGAATGTCTAAACGAGATAGGAGTAATTTTCTCATGTCAAAGTCAAGTTATATGACAGCTCAGGCCCATGAAATGAGCAGTGGCTCAAGCTCCTTCTATCTTGTGTCTCCTCAAACCACATGGTCTAAGACGGCTCACTACCACGTCCACTTTCTGATTAGCAGGTAAGGAGAAAGGAGAAGGGATAAACATCACATCACTTCCCTTCACTTATCATTGTTCAGTATTCAGGCAGATAGAGACACCTAGGGGTGAGGGAGGCTAGGAAATGGAGCTCTCATTTTGCATGGCCAGATTGGGGTATAAAAAAATCACTTTTGGGGAAGGCCAGTTAGCTCAGGTGGTTAGAGTGCAGGCTCATAACACCAAGGTTGCTGGTTCAATTCCCACATGGGCCGTGGAGCTGCGCCTACCACAACCAGATTGAAACAAATCACTTTTGTCTCAGAGCCCTCTCAACAACTAGAGTTATTAAGTGATGTCATTGTGGTTGATTATAACACAACATCTATGGGAGAGTACCTGAAAGAAGGTTTTTTGGTGTTAATATATGCAAGGCATTTCTCTCATTCATTAACTTAAGAATATATAATCGAATATATAATGTCCAACTCATAGGCATTTTCTTTTGTGCCTTTTAGAAACTGCAAAAAAGGAAGTTCAGAAAGACAAGTCCTGTGAACCCAAGTCCACAGAAATAGAAGGAAAGTCATGGTCAGGTGACTCATTTAACCCTCCTTTCATTAATACTCTGGAACAAAAACACTGTGAAAGTTAAGTTAAATTGGCTATGTTATGTAATGTGTATTTTATAGGTGAACTTTTGACTTATAACTGGAACACGAAATATGCCAAATATGAAGATGAAGAACAGGCAAACTTAATCTATGCTAACTCCAGATTTGCAGGTACATGTTAACAACAAAACTAGGAGGGATAGAGGGAAGTTCAGTTGATGAATTTAATTTACTGTGGTACCCTATGATAAAAACTGGACTTAGCCGAGACACAACAGCAGGGAGATCCTTGCATTATTTTGTCCCTGAGCTGATGGATCCAAACATACACAAGGTAAATATTTTTGGTGGTAGTAGGTATGAGCTATTGATGAATGTTCTGTTTTAAAGTATATTCATTAGTATTCAGTTTTGTGTTTTTTATGATTACATGGCCCTATGACTGCTTTGAAGCTATGATCCAGGTATACAAAGGGAATAAGATATTAAACATTAAAACTCAACAAAAATCATTCCAGTTATTCCTCTCCTTGGTAGTTCCACATGCAAACATGTGAGACAGGTGAGAATCTAGCTGAGACTTATAAAGGAAGATCTACTCCACAGAGAGAGCAAAGAGTAGCTTTTAGATGTGAGATAAACCATGTATCTTAACAGCGATTGTTCCAACAAGTACTCACATTTTACTACAATGCTATTTTCTCAATTTACTTTTCATCAACAAGTAGTAGAACTAATTAGACCAATTTTATTTTTTTCCTATCTGCAATGTTTTTCTCTGGGTCAAATAACAAACTTTCTATCCTCAACATATTTTAGTGAAAATGCATGGCGCTGGTCAAGCTCTTGTGGCCTGCTAGCTCATGCTTTTCTCCTGGTCTGACTTCTTTATTTCAATTTTGCTTTATTTTTTGAAAAAACTGTATGGGTGATCATTTTTAAGTTATATCAAATCTCCTATGGAAGGCATGGATAATTAAATTAATGAATAAATCAAACGCAAGTCACTGGGTTGAAATTTTATGAAGTATGCTTCATGTTATAACATTGAGCTTCAAGATAAACATATTCAAGACTCTTTGGGGGACAAGTTGTAGTGGTGGTGTTTACAGACATATTTAACTGGCAAGTAGAGATTGCAACTGGCTTTAGGCACAGCGAAACCAAGGGCTCAACGATAGCAGCAGAACACTGTCTTGCTGCCTCTTAGCCTTGTTCTTCTTTGTGTAACTTCCAGTGTTAGGTTGTTTTTTCCAATACTGTGACAAAGATGTCCATGAGAGTATCTCTAAACCTACATCTTACAAGTTCAGGAATCGTCGTACAAAAAAAAAAGTGGTTCTTGCCTAATAGATCCCCCAAAAGTTCTGGGTCTAATTCTCATTGGCCTATAGTGGATTATCTTGCTATCATCTATGAATCCTTGGCCAGACCTATATCACGTGGCCATCCTTGGGGCAATGGTGGCGGAGGTTCAGTACCATCTGATTTAGTATCTAAACGGACAATGAGAGAGAGATGTTTTGTCAAATAAGAAGGATGCTGTCCTCATGAAGGGAGCATGGATTCCCGACAGGAGAAAAAGTAGCAGATACCCATTACAATAAGTATTCATATATTTTCCTTAATATTTGAGCAAATTGTTCACTTTACTGTTTGGTATATGTTTCCTGCTCGATAGACCTGCATTCAAGTGTCAGAAATATCCAGTCTTACAAGGAAGTAAGAGGTAGGAGTGCCTTCAATGGAGTTTCCCTCGATCTGCTCCAGTTTGTACAACTCCTTGGGACTTTTGTTGGTGAAGATACCCCCTTGAGTGTCAGTGAGACCCTCACCTCCTTTTTTAAGAGGGGCTATGCTGAAACAGAAGAAGAGAAAATAAGTGGCTTAGAAGAGGTGAGTAATATTGTTTATCAATGCAACAGGTGGGGTCACTATTCTAAGTAAATCTCTCAACCTCAGTTGTTCCTTGTGTGGCTCTGCTTTAAAAATTTACAACCAAACTAATCACTTTATTTCAATGAGCATGGCCATTAAATATCTTATTTTATTGTCAAATGTTCTAAGGTCACACTCCAGGGCACCCATTCCCCTAATAATATCATGATTACTGGTGGTAGGAGGTGGTTTATGGTATAGCTTTGTTTTTCCTCCTCTGAAGCTTGAAGAGATTTTGAGGAGCAGATATGTGTATGAGCAAAAATTGTGTGTGTGTGTGTGTGTGTGTATGTGTGTGCTGTCTGCTGTATGAGTGCATTTACAAATGCACATACCTAGGGTTATCATTATGGCTTGAATATATATTTTTATTCAGGTGCACTACATCCAGGAAGTACATATTTCCTAAGAACTTACTTGAGTGATAAATGCACACACATTAGCTGATACAATTTATGGGCTCTGATATGAAATATGTAAATTAGATTCACCAGGCATGTTCAGTAATCTCATCAGCCTTATGAGTCCTCTCAACCTAATTCTAGAGTTGATATCCCTTTTGCCTCAATTGCAGTTCCCCCCACTTACCCAAATGGTATATATTCACTGGCTTTTAGCAATTAAATCTATCTAGATATTAAATTACTATCTAATTGATATCATTAATCTAGGATAAAATCTAAAAGGTAATTAATGTCAAGTTGAGTCAATGTTAAATATAAAAGAATTTTTGAACAGCCTTTCATTGTTTGAACACTGCCATTCATGCCCCTTCACTACAAAACACATCCCACCAAAAAACCAGGCAGAGCACCCCATGTGTTTATCACATTGCTAAACAAGTAGCAAGGGAGTGGAAAGGAATGAATTCAAGTTTCTTAAGGAGTGTAGTCCTCTTCCTAAATGAATGTGTTTTAATCCAATGCAGAGAATACCTGTTTTTTTTTATCTAGAGGTAAAACAGAAAAATGGTATTTAGAAGATTAAAATTAAATGCTTCATTTTCCCATTAATATCATGCTCAGTCCCAAAGGAAAGCTGTTTTTGGGTTTTTTTTTTAAAGGACTGTACTTTCTGGGGAATAAACGCAGGATGCCTGCTAATACAATGAACAGATGGCCTGCTTTGCTTTGATATCCTGTTTGCATCCTAGGTTAGACAAAATGCTTCCCGAATCCGCCGGGGACTTCTCCTGGAAGCCCTCTTTCAGAAGTGGGACAGTGATGCCTCAGGCTTCCTAGATCTGAAAGAAGTTGATGAACTCTTGTACACATACAAGGAAGGAATGGAAAAAGAATCCATGAAGAAAGGTAAAAATATAAGACTTTTCTTATTGAAGTTGTGTTAACATCTTAACTTCAAGCTTCCTGGTGTTATGACATATATATATATATATATATATATATATATATATATATAT